AATTAAGGTTGCATATACATAAGAAGAGCGGAAGATGGGGCCTGCGACCGGCGGCGGTGGAAACGCCAGGTTGATGAAGGGATTGCGAGGATTCGATGGATCCATCGATCGGCTGGAATGCCCGCGAATGACGGAACGTTGGGAGAAAAAGTTGCACCCTTTGGAGATCTTGGGATCGAGAGCAAGATCACAAGTGCAAGAACCGATGTGGAAAAGAAAATGCACAGACTTTTGATCCTTTGAGGGTATAAAATCTATCAAATATGTGTTATATATATGTATATGTGTATCTAACACAGATGACCTATGTTAGACGCTATGAGAGAGAGAGAGAGAGAGAGAGAGAGAGCGGAAGAAGAAGAGTAAAACGATGGGGAAAAGCAAGAGAGTTGGTGAGATTTCTGATGCTCTTCTTCAGACCAAACTCTTTATTATTTTAGTTTTTACGTGTCCGATTAGTTTTTATCTCGATCGGTGGGAATCCTATACTATTTTTTTTTGTTTTATTTCAGTTTTTTAAAATAAAAAAATAATACCCAACCATTTTTTTTTGTCCTTGTGGCTTTTAATACTACAATTAACCCGTAGGAACTATATAGAGTTTGGAATATTATTTCAGTTTTTAGGTATATACAAATTCGGAATTAGAAACACGTGTAAAACATAAACATTGAATGTATTCGCCCGTAAATAATATGAAATTAAATTTATTATTTTTTAACAAGCGAGAGAAATGATATATATTTAGCTTTGCAGGGGTAAGATTGTTTCAACGATATTGGATCATATGACGTGATCACCTTTTCAAATATCGGAGGCGTGTTTATTTGTATTACCTTGTAATTAATGTGATATAGTGATATGATACCATCCGATTGTACAATTTAGCAATTATTTAATCTGATAGGCCCTCTAACCATAATATGTCGGCAGGGCTTTGTTTTGCTGCTCTTTATCATATGCTCTTTACCAATATATTTTGTATGAAAATTACAAAATAATCGAACCGTTTTAATTTGACAGACGATTAGAATATTGGACCAACGATTATAGTTGGTGTGTGTATGTGTGTGTAATTTCTTCATGTTATAATATTCGTGTTATGGTTAATCCACAAGACTCGTAGTTCCAAAATAGGTATTTAGCGATGTATAAATTTACTGATATTACTTTTAAAATATATAGGTTTATTAAGAGTATCATCTTTTTTTTTTTTAAATTTCATTTTTTCTTATGTGAGAGTATTGATTGATTAGTGATGGGAAATGTTTAAACAATTTAATTAAGGGTTCCGCAAGATTTTTCGAACACATCAATTTATAATCATCATTAATCACAAAGGGCACATGCACCCTACCATCTCCCCATGCATCCATGTCACAAAATAGGGAGAAGAGGTTTTTTTTTTATCTTCAAATATTTTAACTCAACTTACCAATAAATATCCAAATACACATATTAAGTTATTAAGGGGGAAAAAGGCAATAACAAATGGGCTAAGTGGATCCAGAGACTCCAGATTATAATATATATATATATACACACACAATCACACAAGAATATACATACATATACATATGCAGGATTGCAGGTGAATATAAGCTGGATTTGTCAATGTTCATGATTTACCCTTTATTATATTTGATTTTTTAGCATCTGGGATTGTATTTTATTGATTCATCAAAGTCTGAATCTGTTTTCAGAGGTCATATCTACTGTATGAAGAAACCCATCTTTTCTTTTTCCTTCTTTCTTTGGCTCTTTTCACAAATTTAAAATTTACAGAAAATGAAAAAAAAAACATTAAATATAAAAAGAAAATCAAGGACCTTCACTGTTTCCATACTTTGCCATGTGTGACGATTTTCTTTTTGGGTAAGAAAAAAAATGTTAGGTGAAGTGTTTATGGTACAGAACAGAAGAGAACTATTCCGGTGAGAAACACCGTGTCGTGTCTGATTAATTTATTTTAGTATTTATTATGTGTGTGTGTGTGTATATATATATATTACAGAATTCTAATATTTAGAAATTAAAAAAAAAGAAAATTTTAAAAGATCCAAGCTTTTGCACTAAGTCAAGGGATTGATGGGAAACTTGCCGGTACAGCTTTGGGGCCCGAACGTCTTGATCTGCATATTGAAATATTACGTTACAATAAATGAGAAACTAATTAACAATAACTCAAAACAGTGTGAAGAAGTTAATAATAATACCCCATTATACAGCTTTTTCACGAAGGGTTGGACATGCAATCAGAAGTGTTTTATCGTTATAACCCATTTAATTAATAAATCCGATTTTATAAAAAAATCTCATGTTCATGCACGTATACATTAATTGGCACGTTGCATGACAAGTTCATTGACTTTCTGCGTAATGGATATGTATTCCATGATTACCGTAATTAAGGTTGCATATACATAAACAATATATGAAAGGGTAATTAATTTAATTTCATTCGACAAGCATGAATGATCTTTGGAAATATATGTATATATATATATTTAATAACAAACACGATGGAACTACAGTTTCATTAAACGATGTTACTAGAGAGATCTACAGAGAAAAATATATAAAACAATAAGACGAGAAGCTAAACGACACAAATTCATAAGAAATCATGACAAGTTCATTGACTTTCTGCGTGTAAGTCGACAAGATGGCAGCACAAAAACAGCTTTGTATAAATTGAAATTGATAAACAAATATTGATTAACAAAAAATAATGGTAGAGTATTTCCCATGAAGCTCTCTCAAAATAAAATAAAATAATAATTATACTCAGAAAACCATGAGAAAATTCAGATGATTCCACATGGGAACAACTTGTGATGACCAGTGGGTCCACTTCGGGAATCTAATTTATATATATAACATTTGATTCACTATTTTACTTAGCTTCATATATATATATATATATATATATTCTCACAGCAAATGTTATATCTATGCAAATGTAATGACGCTGTTTACAAAGAGTTCGAGTCTATCGCTGAATTGACTGTTCTCTGGTATCCACGATAAATTTCTTTTGACTTTGACTATATAGAATCCCGGACGATTCGACGAATTATCATATGCCACGTGGACAACGGGGGTCAGCAGCACGTTATCCAAATGTCAGTCACGTGAGCGCATCTGATCAGTACACGTGGTATAGACAACTAATTACGTGATTATTTAAAAGAAAGTCGTCGTAAAAGTAACATTTGATAGTCGGTTGAAATGATAACGCAGTCATCAATACAATTAAGGGGGGACATTAATTGTTAGTGAAAATCCCGATTGAGGCCACGTGTTGTCACGTGCTGACTTTCATGGGCCTTTCACGTTTTGGGTATATTGGGCTTCATAATGGGCTTTAGATGTCCTAATGGGTTTTGTAGAATGGGCTTCATTCATTACTGTTTTTAAATGGGCCGAACCTATAAATTTTATGGGTTAAAAGTTCGATTTTCTCTGGCTGCCTGAATTCCTCACAATTGCCCTTCTCTGATTTTCCGGGGAGCTTCAGAGCCTCCTGGTTCGCCGGAAACCTAGATCTCTGCGGCGGACCATTGAAACACTTTCACCATTTCTTCCATCTCTTCCTTTGATCACAATATTCGTGTGAAAAAGACAGGCAAGCTCTCCACGGCGGCGATTATGGCGATCATCCTCGGAATCTCTCTTCCTCCTCCTCTGCCTCACAGACAGGCGCCGGGCAACCAAAGAGCGCGCAAAACAGAGGCGACGGCGACGGTGGATACTCCGCCAGGGATATCGCCGTCGAAGTGGGAAGGTGGGTTCTGAGTCCTGAAAATGTTTTGTTGTAAGCCATTAAAGGAGACGAGTACAAGAATGTTGTTGTCTATGTCTGATAATACTTGACCTCTACATCTGTATCTGTATACAAGAAAATATGAAGTTGTTTGCTTGATTTCAGTTTTCAATGATTTGTTGAGTTGTATCCATCTAAACAAACCATTTCAAAATCCGAAAACCAGATTTGAATCGAATCAAAGATTTGTAATGATGATTTATGCTCTACAAAAGCCTCTCATTGTATTCCCCACTTGGATCTCTCTTCATTTCCTTTTTCAGTTCCCATTCTGAAAAAAAAAAAAGTGGAAGAACACAGAAAAAACCGGAAAAATATTCTCCAAAATCTCACATTTCTCATTGATTCTTCTCGCGTCCTCTCACGTTCGTTAGCCGCAAAGGTGAAGAACATGTTCTGAAGATTGAGTCAATTGCTTGATGTGACACTCCACAGTCATGTTGAGAAGACATTATGAATCCAAAAACCTTAACCGTGTCGGAAAAAGATCATCTTTTTGTGTGCGTCCGTCCAATAGGATTTTAGCCACTGTTCTGACGCTCAGCCTTGTGCCTTTCTTCTTTACTCATCCCACGATGATTTCAGCTGGAAGAACTCTCAACCCTTTATTCTAATGCATTAAATATCCCTACTTTTCTGTTGAGGATTGAAAGTAACGCACTGAGATTGTTAATTGTTTGAGAGAAACGGGGAATTTTCTCTGCAGTGGTGGTAACTAAAACAGAATCTTGGGAGTATGAGATCATGAACACGAACATCGTCGATAAAACGCGGGTTTGTTAGAAAAGAGAAGGAATATATTCTTCAAAGCGGCTTTTAAGTTGTCTGAAACACAATTCTCGCCATTCCTTTCTCGAAGAGCAAGAATAAAAGAATACAGAGTCAAAGTTTTTGGACTCCGTTATCTTTATTTGAAGGGGTCTCATCCTTTTTTGCTTACAGTTTCCTGGGTTTCTTGTCGTTGTTGTTCATTGTCTCTGTTTCGAGTTGTATTCGTTGTCAGAGAGGAAAAGAGAAGCTTATTGGTGATGGATACAGGTGTTCTGAATTCTGTGATCAACAGGTTGCTTGAAGCGAGGGAGAAACCGGGCAAGATTGTTCAGCTGTCTGAAAGCGAAATCAGACAGCTCTGTTTTGTCTCCAGAGACATCTTCTTGAGGCAGCCAAATCTCTTGGAGCTTGAAGCTCCTGTCAAAATCTGTGGTACCTCTCTCTCTCTCTCTCTCTCTCTCTCTCTCTCTCTCTCTCTCTCTCTCTGTAGTTTTCTGAGATTGGTCTTGTGAAACTTCTGGTTTATACAAGATTGGAGTATAATTCCCAGAAAAAAGTTATGTTTTTTTCCATGTGCTATATGTTCCTGAACCTTTCCTGCATTCTCAAGAGATTCTTGTGCTTAAACTGAGTATGGAAGTTATCTGAACCCAGATGTAGAAATCGAAAGTTCATCATTTGATCACAATCTTCCCAACAAAACAAGCATTTTTAACATTTTAATCGATCTTACAAACCCATTGGCGATGGAAACAGGGGACATTCATGGTCAGTATTCAGATCTTCTGAGGCTCTTCGAATACGGAGCACACCCTCCTCGCTCGAACTACTTGTTCCTCGGAGATTACGTGGATCGTGGCAAACAGAGCATCGAAACGATCTGTCTTCTTCTCGCTTACAAAATCAAATACCCAGAAAACTTCTTCCTTCTCAGAGGAAACCACGAATGTGCTTCCATTAACCGCATCTATGGCTTCTACGACGAATGCAAACGGCGTTTCAGCGTCAAAATCTGGCGAACTTTCACCGATTGCTTCAACTGTCTTCCCGTCGCAGCCCTCGTAGATGATCGGATTCTCTGTATGCATGGCGGGCTTTCTCCCGACCTGCGCAGCTTGAGACAGATAAGGGACATTAGACGACCTACTGATGTTCCCGACAATGGTTTGCTCTGTGATCTCTTGTGGTCTGATCCTGACAAAGAGATCAAAGGTTGGGGAACGAATGATCGAGGAGTTTCTTACACATTCGGGGCCGATATCGTTTCTGGGTTTCTGAAAAGGCTCGACCTTGACCTCATCTGCCGTGCTCACCAGGTTCTTGAATGTTCTTTGTGCCCTAAGCAACCGTGTTTTCTCGTACCGATGCAGATTTTTACAGAACTTGGATTTGCAGGTAGTAGAAGATGGATTCGAGTTCTTCGCGAACAAGAAGCTCGTCACGATATTCTCGGCACCAAATTACTGCGGTGAGTTCGATAACGCGGGAGCTATGATGAGCGTGGATGAAGATCTGATCTGTTCTTTCCAGATTCTGAGGCCTACCGACAAGAAATCGAAATTCAGCTTCGGAAGCAGAGTTGCTGCAAAAACGAGCTTTCCTTATCCCAAAGCGAAGGTAACGAATGTTCCTGAAACATCCCTTGGTTTTGAATTTAGACATAAACCACGTAATGACCATTTTTTTTTCCCTTCAAATTTTCAGTCCATTCTAAGTTCCAAGAGCTCGAAGTACTAGAACTGATGAAGATCTCGGTCTCAGATTCTGCAGAGCATGACCATGTTCCGGGCTCCGCATCTTCCATGGGAGAGAATGAGAATGTTAAAATACAATTTCAGACAATGTAAAAAGAAAAAATTATGTTTTTTTTTTTTTAATTTTCCATTTTCTGGTTCAGTGCCTTGATCCAAAACGAACCGTTTTAAATTGGGTCTCAAATGGGCCGATAGATAAAATGATAGTGGGCCTCGGATTGGGTTTATGATATCTAATTATCCATTTTACTCTTCAGACCCAACCAGTACACGCCCTCTTCTCGTAGGGGCATTCTTGTCATTTATTTTTACTTTCCGATCTTTTTTATTGTTATATCAGAATATCACTAGATATTATTAATTAATATTTAAATTTCGCTAAATAAAATGATGCTACGCGTGGCTCTTATTCTTGTCCTGCCTTGTATTAACTTAAATATATCCCCGTTTTTTGCTCGATATTGGTTCGACAAAAAAAAATGTGAAAACTTTTGGTACGAGTTATTATTTGATATATGTTGATTGTATATTAATGTGTTGTGTTACTATGTGCATCACCCCTTGCATAATCCCTAACGTTTTGCCCGAATATAATTTCAATATCCGTAACGTTTTCCGGTTGCATGTGTCCCCGATTTGAGCTTTATTTATTTGATCTAAGCCCATTTTCTACACTCTTGGCCCAACTAGTATTAAGAAAAAAGCCCTCTGGGGGCATTTCTGTCATTGTACTTATTTACAGAACTCTTTGGACAGGTAACGTAACACGTTTTGTTAGAACTCAGAGAGATCAACAAACAAAATGCATTGGACAGCGAATACATTTAGACTACAAAACAAACACTCTTAAGAAGAGAACACATCACAAATCAATAGCTGCTTTTGTTGAACCACTCGTACCAAAAAACACAACATATAATAGAAGAAAAACTCGCCCGACAAAGAAAAACTCGCCCAACATATTTAATCTTGATCTTTCTTATCGGGATTGGCCTCGCCGGAGAGTTCTTCGAGGGACTTGCCCTTTGATTCAGGAACGAGGAGAGTGAATACCATACCGGCGAAGTTGACGCAGCCGAGGGCTATCAAAGAGTTCTTGACGCCGATGCCTGGCGAGTAGCCATGGTCCACCTTTGTCTTGTCCTTCGGCTGAGCTGCGTATAAGAATCCGAACGCCCCTATTATGGCCCCCGCCTTTCCTGACGCCGCCGAGATTCCGTGGCACGTCGATCTCAGCCTGGCCGGGAATATCTCTGCCGGGACGATGAACGTCGTCGAGTTTGGGCCGAAGTTCGCGAAGAAGAAAGTCAGAGAGTACATCACCACGAATCCGATGCGGTTATCCGGCTTGGTCCAGTGGTTGTAAGGGAAGGCTATGGCGAACATGAAGACCGTCATGAAGAAGAATCCCATCAGTTGTATCGCGAACCTTCCCATTATGTCGATGAACGCGACCGTGAACCAGTAACCGGGAACCGTACTGCAGAGCGCGATCAGGGTCTGCGCCCTGCCGATCTTGAACACCTCGTGGATGGCGTTCATAGTGGCCGCCTTTGGGATCCATCCGATGGCCGAGAAGATGTCTTTCTGGAACAAGTTCTGGCTGTAGAAAGCGATGTCGAGCAAGAACCATGTAGAGGTTGTGCCGAGAAGGTGGAGGCCATGGCGTCTCAGGAATTCGGCGGAGAACAATCCATAGTTAAGTTTGGGGTCCTTGATGAGTTCCTCCTCCCTTTCTTGGACCTCGAGATCAACCTGCAAGACCTTGGACATGTCCTGAGCCGCCTGTTTGACGTTCTTGGCGACCAAGGCGGTGTAACGGGCGGTTTCAGGCATCTTCATACGCCAGTAATAGGTCAAGGCCGCTGGAAGAGCGCCGACCATGAGGATGATACGCCATACGTAATCAGCTTGAGGAGGCGTCGAGAGGGCTCGGTCCACTGCATATGTCGGGGCCGGGAATTGGTGGTCGAATATGCTCGAGACTATGAGCGCTACCATACCTCCGACCAAGATTCCGACGCCCTGCATGGCGAACACGGCCGCTATGAAAGCTCCACGTGTCTTCTTGTTCGCGTATTCGGACATGATGGTGGCGGAAAGAGGGTAGTCGCCTCCGATGCCGAACCCTAGCCAGAACCTGTAACATTACGAATCAGACCACCTCTTTTGTTAAAAAAAATAAAGTTGAGATTTTTTTTCACTTGATCAGTTTATGCGAAATACGAATATCGATCGACACCTGAAGAAGCAGAGAGTGGTCATGACTCCCTTAGCGGCGTGGCCAAAGGAGAGACCAGAGGCGACGGAGCAGAGGACCATCAGGATCAAAGTGATACCGTAGACTTTCTTCCGTCCCAATTTGTCACCGAGCCATCCGAAGAAGAGCTGACCGGCCAATGTTCCGCAGAGGGCGACGCCATTGACGGCCGCAGAGACGTCAGGAGGGAGGGTTCCCGGCTTAGGTGAGGTCGGGTCGAAGTAATAGATCCGGCCGAGGAGCTTCGTGACCAGAGAGATGCAGAAGAGATCGTATGCATCAGTGAAGAATCCCATTCCGGCTATCACAATGGCCGTGAAATGGTAAAGCTGCGTCTTTGCCACATCGAGTGCCTTGAGCACTCCTATCTGTTGGTCCTCAGCCATCCCCTTTTGACCTTACATACATACAAAACCCACCATTGTTAATTAGTCCCAAACTAAAACTGGGTTTATAATCTGAAACATGTTATAAGTTTTTGTCGGAAATCTGAACTCACCTTGTCGTTGCGTTACTCAGTTGTGGCAGAGACGAGAGAGACAGTATGAGGAGTTGACGAGGTGGTGATTTTGGATTTCGAAATTTTGGTGGCAATTTATAGAAGAGGAGAGAGAGTGTTAAAGGCATCTTTTGGGAATAATGCTTTTTTCACATATAATTAACTATACTATTAACTCGTTCAACGTTTTAAAATTTACAAACCTATCCTCTTAATCGATACTACACAATGCATGATATTTAATTATAAACTCAATATCTATACGCAACAATAAGGCATCTTCATACGCCAGTAATAGGTCAAGGCCGCTGGAAGAGCGCCGACCATGAGGATGATACGCCATACGTAATCGGCTTGAGGAGGCGTCGAGAGGGCTCGGTCCACTGCGTATGTCGGGGCCGGGAATTGGTGGTCGAATATGCTTGAGACTATGAGCGCTACCATACCTCCGACCAAGATTCCGACGCCCTGCATGGCGAACACGGCCGCTATGAAAGCTCCACGTGTCTTCTTGTTCGCGTATTCGGACATGATGGTGGCGGAAAGAGGGTAGTCGCCTCCGATGCCGAACCCTAGCCAGAACCTGTAACATTACGAATCAGACCACCTCTTTTGTTAAAAAAAATAAAGTTGAGATTTTTTTTCACTTGATCAGTTTATGCGAAATACGAATATCGATCGACACCTGAAGAAGCAGAGAGTGGTCATGACTCCCTTAGCGGCGTGGCCAAAGGAGAGACCAGAGGCGACGGAGCAGAGGACCATCAGGATCAAAGTGATACCGTAGACTTTCTTCCGTCCCAATTTGTCACCGAGCCATCCGAAGAAGAGCTGACCAGCCAATGTTCCGCAGAGGGCGACGCCATTGACGGCCGCAGAGACGTCAGGAGGGAGGGTTCCCGGCTTAGGTGAGGTCGGGTCGAAGTAATAGATCCGGCCGAGGAGCTTCGTGACCAGAGAGATGCAGAAGAGATCGTATGCATCAGTGAAGAATCCCATTCCGGCTATCACAATGGCCGTGAAATGGTAAAGCTGCGTCTTTGCCACATCGAGTGCCTTGAGCACTCCTATCTGTTGATCTTCAGCCATCCCCTTTTGACCTTTCGTATATACACAAAACCCGCCATTGTTAATTAGTCCCAAACTAAAACTGGGTTTATAATCTGAAACATGTTATAAGTTTTTGTCGGAAATCTGAACTCACCTTGTCGTTGCGTTACTCAGTTGTGGCAGAGACGAGAGAGACAGTATGAGGAGTTGACGAGGTGGTGATTTTGGATTTCGAAATTTTGGTGGCAATTTATAGAAGAGGAGAGAGAGTGTTAAAGGCATCTTTTGGGAATAATGCTTTTTGCAATTAGGTCAAACTAATCAAGTTTTGTAGCCTTAGACCAAACTCTATTTGTTTATTTTTTTCATAATTAACTCGTTCAACGTTTTTAAATTTACAAAAATACCCTCTTTATTGATACTACGCCATGCATGCTATTTAATTATAATCTTGATATGTATACGCAACAATAATGCATAAAGTAAACCAATCTGCTTACAAAATTTTAAATGTTCTATTAGTCATTAATACGAATAGGCATGTGATCATGTGGATTGTTTAGACGTATAACTAATAAAATCTGGAGAAAAAAAACTATAATGTTATAGTTCTAATAGTAGGGTAATATGGTAATTATATGAAATCAACAGGGCAATTTGGTCAATTTTTCATATTTTATGAAATAATGACAGGTGTAATCTCTTGCTTTGACATTTGGATCCACCCATTGTATTTATGTGGACACAGGGAGAGAAAATTATAAGAATAAATAAAAGCATAAACGGAGTGCTTTCCATGTTTATAGAGTATCTAATCATTTATTACCATTATATTATACGTTCCAGCTCTATCCATATCTTCTCCAAAAATTGAAATTTGCAATCTAATTAACCATTAGTGCGATACATGCGCTATAATCTTTTTGCTCGAACAGTTGACATTAGAGTGCCAATTTGGGGATACGTTGTCATGAAAAGGATTTCCAAAAAAGTCAAACTAATTAAAATAATATCCCTCTATTATAAAATATAAATAAAAAATACATTATTTGTTAAATAAAGCAAACAGTTTTAGATTTTTATTGTTATCCATTATGACCAACATGCAGACCATTAATTCTTAGTGGACAACACTTCTCTTTGTATATACCCTCCATCTTTCACATAACGAATATATTTTTTTCTTCCTTTAATTTAAACGAAGCACCAAGTATGCATCACACTATCACGCCCGAATCACACAACGACATCCATAAAAAAAAACACATTTCGTATAATTGAAAAAGGTGATATGATTGGAAAGAATATCAATCTTCGTCGACCTTGGCCTCGCCGGAGAGTTCTTCGAGGGACTTGCCCTTGGATTCAGGAACGAGGAAAGTACACAACATCCCGACAAAGTTGATGACGCCGAGCATTATCAAAGAGTTCTTCACTCCGATGCCTGGTGGGTATCCTGCGTCCACCTTCGTCTTGTCCTTTGGCTGCGCTGCGTATAAGAATCCGAACGCTCCCACGATCGCACCCGCTTTCCCTGTCGCGGCAGAGATTCCGTGACACGTCGACCTCAGCCTGGCCGGGAATATCTCTGCCGGGACGATGAACGTCGTTGCATTCGGTCCAAAGTTGGCGAAGAAGAAAGTGAGAGAGTACATCACCACGAATCCGATGCGGTTATCCGGCTTGATCCAGTGGTTGTATGGGAAGGCTATGGCGAACATGAAGACCGTCATGAAGAAGAACCCCATCAGTTGGATCCAGAACCTTCCGATTATATCTATGAATGCGACCGTGAACCAGTAACCGGGGACGGTACTGCAGAGCGCGATTAGGGTTTGTGCCCTGCCGATCATGAACACCTCGTGGATACCGTTCACCGTGGCTGCCTTTGGAATCCATCCGATGGCCGAGAAAATATCTTTCTGGAACAAGTTCTGGCTGTAGAAAGCGATGTCGAGCAAGAACCATGTAGAGGTTGTACCAAGAAGGTGAAGCCCGTGGCGTCTCAAGAATTCAGCGGAGAACAAGCCATAGGTAAGTTTCGGGTCCTTGATGAGTTCCTCCTCCCTTTCTTGGACTTCCAGATCAACCTGCAAAACCTTGGACATGTCCTGAGCTGCCTGTTTGACGTTCTTGGCGACCAAAGCCGTGTAACGGGCGGTTTCGGGCATCTTCATACGCCAATAATAGGTCAATGCGGCTGGAAGAGCGCCGACCATGAGGATGATACGCCATATGTAGTCTGCTTGAGGAGGAGTCGAAAGATTTCGGTTCACTTGGTACGTTGGAGCCGGGAACTTGTGGTCGAATATGCTTGAGACCATGAGCGCTACCATACCTCCGGCCAAGATCCCGACGCCCTGCATGGCGAATACTGCCGCGATGAAAGCCCCACGAGTCTTCTTGTTCGCGTATTCAGACATGATGGTGGCGGAGAGAGGGTAGTCACCTCCGATGCCGAACCCTAACCAGAACCTGTGACGGCAGGGTGTTGTAATTAATAAATCTACATACATTATATAGCTAGATAGCTGTAGGTGTTCTTTCTATTAGCAGAATAAATGGGGATGTAACAAAATACTTGTGTTACGTACAACATATATATATATCGGATCAGGTTATGACATGAAATATTTAACCAGTTATATATATATATATATATATGTATGTTTTGCGTTAATGTACCTGAAGAAGCAGAGAGTGGTCATGACACCCTTGGCAGAGTTGCCAAAGGAGAGGCCAGAGGCAACTGAGCAAACGACCATCATGACCAAAGTGATACCGTACACTTTCTTGCGTCCGAGTTTGTCACCGAGCCACCCGAAGAAGAGCTGACCGGCCAACGTCCCACAGAGGGCGACACCATTGACGGCTGCACACACATCCGGTGGGAGGGTTCCGGGCTTAGCCGACTGAGGGTTGTGGTAATAGAGACGGCCGAGGAGCTTTGTGACCAGCGAGATGCAGAAGAGATCGTACGCATCGGTGAAGAATCCCATTCCGGCTATCACAATGGCCGTGAAATGGTAAAGCTGCGTCAAGCTGCGTCTTTGCCCCATCCAGTGCCTTGAGCACTCCTATCTGTTGATCCTCAGCCATTGTCTTTTGACCTTCCGACAACTCGATCTGCTGACAAAACCAGTGTTACATCATGTTCAAAACAGAAATTAGGGTTATAGAAGAAAACGACAATAATGCGCACAACAGTTACTGATAACTATATTATTTTTCTGTTTATCAAATCTATGACTTGTACTTGTTAAGAAGAGTGAGGACCTCATGAAAGAAAAACATCTAAGTTATCAGCATTAACTAATTAAAGCGCGTGTATACACATGCATGGACATATATATATACAAGTTATAGCAAGTCGAAAAGATTACATGTTCACTAATTGGAGTGAGAGAAACCTGAAGAAGAGACAGTTCACCTGGTCAGTCTAATGTTAATTCGCTGCGAAAGATACGGTTTAGCCTTAGAGTGGTGATGATATATGATATATGAGGCTAACAATGGTGGCTATTTATATTGCAAAAGTGATGGGAGATTGATGGCTACATGATCTCCGGCATCTTCCAAGGTATTGCCCCCTTCTGGTTATATATATATATATTGGGGGGGTTAATAAAAAAAATATCCCGGTATATGCCCCCTTCTGGTTTTGTGTATATATATATATAATTTGTTCTTGGCCAAGTTTATACACATCAATTCTCTCTTTTTTTGGGGGGTTAATAAAAAAAATATCCCACAAATATCATTTGGATTTCTGACCCCTACATTAATCTATCCAAATTAACCCACACGAAGAACCCATTAGTAGAACTCGTTTCAATTTTATCCCACAAATATCATTTTTTTAAAGAATTTCAAATTCATCGGTTTAAATGAAGAAATCACTTAGAAAACTAAAATTACGCCAAAAATATATACATATAAGAAAACCCCTTTTTTTTAGCGCAAGATATCCTTAATAATCAAGAAGACATCCACGATGTACAAGTCAAGGTTCACGGTCTTCGTTTCTCTTGTCGGAAAACGTACAAGCTCGTTCCAACTTCCGTACGGGTTTTAGCCGCAGGGTACAATCTTTGACATGTCACCTGGAGACGCGTACCTCGTCCAGCATTTTTTCTTTCAAATTTCCAAATTGTATATATTCAATTCAATATATATGCTTTGTAGATAATATAATATCTATTGTATTCTTGGGTAAAATCGGAGATTTGACCCTAAAGAAGGGTAAAAATGTGATTCTCTATCAAGTCGAGCTCTTGATATCTATAACATTTTTATATTTGATACACCTTGTTGGTGGTCCCTAAACAAAATCGACAATTTTTTAATTATTATATACGAATTTTTAGAAAACCATCTTTATTATTGATAATCGAAAAATCTTGGAATATTTTAGGTTTGTATTTATTGTTATGGAAGGATATATTAAAACTTTAATGGATATTTCTATATCTTATATAATTTTTCATATAACAGCATCTTATTCAATCAATCTCACTAGAAGCATGCTAGGTATATAAAATGTCTTTATGAGTGAGAAAGTGGATTTCTTGAATGTCAACTCATTGTTTCCCAACAAAGATAAAATGGAGATTTTGAAGATAACTCTATTTTCCATGCATTCCCAAAAATGAAAACGAATTAAAAATGAAAACAAACAAAAAGAAAACCCTTCAAATTAGGGTTCCTGCTGTAAGTTTTCAGAAATTTATTTGTTCATGATGTTTATGTTCCTCCGTACAATTCTTCTGCTTAGTTTTTTTAACCAATATTTTTTTTTCACTATTTGGAAGGCCATCTCGTAACAAAATTCTTTTTATTTTTTATTTACTTTCCCACCTCATGGATTATTTTATAAAAGTCAACTATTTTAACCTCCATAAAAAAATATTTTAAAAATTCGATTAACTGAAACTTCCCTCTCGCTGAAAGTCAACTGTTTTTTTAAGTTCCAAAAAAAAGATTAAAACATTTTAATTGACGAAAATATCCCTTTGCCTAAAAGTCAACGGCTTATAGGAGAAAAAAAAACACAAATATGTGAAACTCGGTCCAAGCTGCATGACCAAATTTAAATTTTCGACCACTTATACTCTTAACAATATATTTCTAAAACAAATGGCTTCCATATTTTTGTAATCAATCTGAGTGGAAAGTCTCCCATAATAGGTTGATGATTAGTCATTTTATGTATTTTGCGTT